TTAACAGGTAAACTGTTGTTATTATAGTTGTGTTTCTTTTTTTTCCTGAGTGATGAAGATGTTCTTTTTATTTGGTGTTTTTTTCTTTTGATTCATTCACCAATTCTAAACACATATTGATAACATTATGGCATCTTGAACAACTCCGGTATATTGCAGTAATTGTTTAAAAGTTTAGATACCAGTTATCAATATTTATCCTGCAGATTAGCAATCTCTGTCTCAACCTGTGAAAAAGCAAAAATATTAGAATTGGTAGAAGGATCTGATTAGTTTAATTAATAAGTTTTACAGTATTTCATTCTTTGAAACATTAGTTATGTTGCCTTTGATGTGCAGATGTGAGCTAGCTTTCAGCACTAAACCATCCTTGAAAATATTTACAACAAACATAGCTCCTACATGCAAAACATTGACAAGACAAAAAAAGAGGTGATACTTCTACTTGCACTGATGCACAAGTTTATAGGTTACCAAATAAACAGTATCTTTTTATATTTTCAGTAAACAACGTAAAGATTAATTTGGATTCTGCCCTGCCATACATAAAGAATTATTTAATGTCTGCACTTAATAGTGACTGATTCATTTTTAATCAAGATGAATAATTTTTGTTCTAGGTTGTTAAAGGAATATCCAGGATTTGTGTTCACACCCCGCTCAAGAGAAGAGCTTCCACCAAATTTTCCCAGTGATATCCCTGGAATTTGCTATTTTCTGGATGCTTATATTCAAGGAACAAACTCACAGACTTGGTTTCAAAAGAGAGATTTGGGAGATGGCAATGCCAATTTTTTGGGTGAGGAAACAGGAATAGACTAAATTGTACATTCAGAAATGTATAGAATAAATTTATAAATATTTGGATTTTTTTTTGTATAAATTGAAAATTTTTAAAACTGTATGAAACATGCAAGCACTTTAGATCGTTAACACCTGAAAGCCAGTATTAAAATTTCAGGAAGTATGTCACTGACTACTTTTTATTTTTCCTTTGCATAAGGAACATAGTCACTAAAGTAATGTTGCAGCTTCACAGTTGGAAATGCTACTATAAACTGTATTTTCCTTGTGGTAATTTGTTAGTGCTACGTAATAACTCAGTTCTCTCTGTACTGAGACTTCTAGATGTATTGTATATGCAGTTTGTCAGGAAATGTAATGTGCAAGTGATGCAGCCACATGCAGTGTTGTGAGCTGGTGCTTATCAATGACTATTAAAATGTATTTTCTTAGAGATTCGATAAGAAAATGTCCATTAAAATAGTGTCATTGCTATCACATACTCCTCCCAGTGCATCATTTGGGCCCCATCCTAGAAGTTGCTGACCATCTTCTCACACTGACTGGAGTCAGATTATGAGGGTGCTCAGCATTTTCTGGATCAGGCTGCTAATTGTAGCTAATAAACATGCATAGCAGAGTTGCCGCTTACTGTTTCATGAACTTTATTTTGTGTATAAAATTAATATAGATTAAAACACTGTATAATCACATACTAAAGTCTGTAATCATCAAACTATTTTAGTTCTTAGGGTTTTTAAAATACTTAAAAATAAAAATATCCCCTTGTTATTACGTATTACAGCAATAAATGTTTTCTTCTTGTTGTCATTTAAATTTGAAATGTTTTAACAGAAGTATAATAAAACGTGATTTGGAATGATAGCTTAGAAAGGAAATTCCAGTTAGACTGTATAAAATGGAACAGAAGCACACCAGCTTAAAGCTATGATCCTTATTCAAGGATGCAATGTGGGGTATGACATGTTATGGAATGGCCTATCATATGCTCACTTTAAACTTGCCAGGAGAATCTTCAAGTGAGCAGAAATGCTTTAAAACATAGGAACATATATACAAAGATTAATATTACTACAGTACAAGCTTTTTTGTTGTGGATGATGGAAAATGAATTAAGAACTCTAAAGGGTCTGCCTCTGGTTCTGGCAGAATAGAGTTAGTTAAAGAGTTGTGCATTTAGGATTCTGTCTGATCTCTAAGTAGCAGATCCATCTGCCCGGAAATTCCTCTGTGCTGTACAGTTTAATCCCAACTGTACAGGGATTGGAGAATTGCAGAGCTTACACACACTACTATTTCCAGTAGTATCAAATATTATTAGTTATTATTCTAAACTCTTAAAGTCTGGGTGTTTGGCATATCAAGCCATAAAAGTCTTTCTTCAAGCTACTTGTCACTAAATCAGATTTTGCTTTCTGAATATTTACAGAGAGCAATTACATTAGACTAAGGTGCCATTTTATTCATTTTCTGATCTTGACTGGTACATTCTGAAGCTCAGTATACCATTTTATCCTGCTATTTTGTGGTAGAAACTCATACAGAACATGTAGCATCAGAGCCTTGAGAAAAGTCCTTATAAGAGTCTAGCATTAAGAACATTTTAAAACTGTATGTCAATTCAGATTTCCTGTAAGCAGCATTTGAACAAAACTTGAAATATTGAATCCTTCTATTACTTGAGGTCTACTATATCCATCTAAGATGCTTAGAAATAATTCTGTGACACAAAAATGGAACCTGAAAGTCTGTGTATCGTATATAAACATATCTCTCTATTGCACACACACGTATACAAGCAAACGTATCTGTAACATTTTTGACAGTAGTATTTCAAGGAAACAAGAACTATGCAAATTTTGATCTTTGCAATATTATATTGGTCAGAAATTCTATTTAATTGACAAAAATACCCAGAGGTTACTAGCAGTCCCATGTCGGTGCTCCCAGATAAAAAAATGTGGGAATATTTGACTACTGACTCTTCAGTAGGCTTATGGTATTAAGCCAGTAATGACTGAGGTCAGCATGAATATATCCATCACTGTCATTTATTGAATGTTAAATAAACCCAGGCTTTTAAATAAAAAGGATTTCTTTCTCCAGATCTACTGAATAAGAGGGATGCTTAGGAGGGAATTTTCTTTTGTCCCTAGAAAAGAACTGTTGCTGGACTAGACGATGGCCATGCTCAAGGCCAAATTCTGTATAAATCTGTCATTAAATAGGATGTTTATCATGGCAGTTCCTGACACCTTCCTAAGTGGTGTCAACCTTCAGAGAAGAATTCTGGTAAGGTGTACACAGAAAGCAACGTGCCTGAATCTCAGTGAAGTAAATAGGNTAATTCATGAAAGTGCTTTAAAATGTACTTGTGTTCAGACTAGTTCTGCAAAAAAGCCACAAGTCTGTTTAGCTTTAAGCATAATTTAAGAATTTCAATTTCACTGAAGCTGTTCTGTTTAAGTTTTTTTGCTGAATAAATATGTATTTAATAAGGGACAATTATTTTAACTGATCTTTTCACTTAGATCTAAAATATTCCTTTCACTTTTTAACTAATCTTTTCACTTAAATTAAATCCAGTTGAAAAAGAAAAAAGGAATCAGAAAGCCAATAAGCAAATTGTTGAGATAAAGAAAAGGAAGGCAATTTAACCCATGCAATACTGGGATATTTTGCAAGAAAATAAAAGAGTTGTTTGTAAGTTGATATCTTGTATTATAGTGTGTTATATTGTGGAAATCTTCAGAGACTATGCAATGTTATTTACATAAATATACAAATACCGTAGTATTATGTCCAGAAACAGTTTTTTTATATCTGAAATTTTATTTTATTAGTTCATGAAGATTCTGTGGGGCTGATTCCCATTCACATTTACACTGTGATGGAAGATACATTTTTATTACACTGCAATTTCTTTGCCGAAGAGGTGTAAATGGCCCTTGAAATAAATAAAAAGTGGGTCCTTTGAATCTTAACAGTGATATAGCTAAAGAGAAAGCTATAGCAAAAGAATTCAACTAATTTGATTTCATTCAGGCATGACCTGTAAGATTCCAGGAAGATGCTGAAAAAAAAATTCACACTGCTGGTATCAGAGGAAGTACAATTAGCGTGGAGATGATATTTTCTTTCTCACTGAACTGCTGTGCAAAACCAAAGCAAACGAACTCACACAAGCTGACAAAACAGTGAAGTGCACAGATAATTGAGCCCCTGGGACAGATCTACTTTTTCCTAGGAAATCTTATGAAGGAAGAATTCAGACCTCCCCCAAACCCAGTTTATTTCTCCCATAATTTTATTTCACAATCTTTTCAGAAACAGCTGCAACAAACAATACAGGAGGCAAAATCAGTATTTCCAACCGAAAGCCATCAGAATTAAGGGGAATTGCTCTTGAATCTTGGCTAGGAGACCCTTTTTCAAACCCCACCCATCCTACAACCTACCAGCCTACTCTAGCTGTTACCGTTTTTTTTAATGCCTGCTCATTGTTCTGCAAAAGCAGTGGGAGATTCGTTTCCTGCAAAAGCAATAACTTTTGTGGCTATTTGCCATATGGTGTACAACGTACTGAGTTGCTTTCAAAGTCCTGCTCCAGTTTATCATAAGCCAGTTTGGCAGGGACCAAATTTAACTGAGGCTATTTCTGAAATGAGAGCTTGGACTTTCTTTTCTACCTCTAAAATCTGCAAGATGTGCGCCACAACAGTCTTTAGAGACCTCTAGAACCACTCTGATGGTATGGCTGCTCACAACTGCATAGGAAGGAAATAATCAGATATAAGCTTATTTTTTTTAACTTCCCAATCCATTTGCATGAGTTCACTGGCAGACCTTTTCTGCAGAGCACAAAGGGAGAGTAAAAGTCACTGTCTTATATTACTCAGCATTGCTCTGATACTGAGGCACAAATAAAAGATGGGAAATAATCGATGGTTCTGAAACCTTCGATGCAACCAGATGGTTCCAGATGCAACCATTTAAAGATACATACTCTCCTGAGCACAAACAGAAGGATCTGAATGTTAAATATGCAGTTAGGCTGGAACATGAAGCTGGAGAGCCAGTCAAAGAAATAATAAACTGTGAAAGAATCTGAAACAAAGTAAACAACCTTATAAAGTTGTGTGTTTCATCTGCTTCAGCAGACTTTTGATGCTGAAAGCAAAGTTGAACCAGCGGTTTCCTAATATAAATGTAAATGAGCACATTGCTTTGCAGTCCCATTATAAGGCATCCTTTGAAGATCTGTGCTAAAATTGTTTCTCATCTTTTGAGCAGTACAAAGTTACAAATTTTTGTGCCACTACAGCAAACAAACACCATGTTTACATGCACATCCTGCCCACACAGCACATAATGGGAAGTAACTGAGAGAATGCATGCAGTAACATCCCAAGGATATGAAAAGAGGTAGATTAAGTCATAGATACATTTCCTCTCTCCTGATTTTTCAGCCTGAACAAAACCTGCCAAAGAAATATCAAGGGCAAACACGTTACCAGGGGCTTTGGAATACAAGCACATAAAAATGAATAGGAGTCTTTCCACTGATTGCAGATGATGTTAGGGAAGATTTGGATATATTATTAGTTTGCTCCACATGGCTAAGATTACATTCCTCTTACAGGAGGATGCAACAGAGTGCTCAGTTTCTCAAATATACATGTTACTGCATTACAGAACAGCATGGACATATTGAGGGCTGTTTCATTCCTAGCTTGACAATACCACTATTGAAAAATGAATGTAATGGTATAGTAAATCAGTGTATAGTGCTACATTAAAAATAATGAATCTTGCTGAAGTGATCTTAAGAGTGTATTTTTGCATCTGGTAAGTAGTATTATGACAATTCCAGATGTCAAGTCTCAGACCATTATGATTTGAAATTTAATTAGAAAATACCCATAATTCAATCCAATGTCAACAAAGTAACTCCCTCTTCAGTAAGTGGAATCCAGCAATACCATATAAGGTAGCGTTTTTATTCAGGATTACAGTAACAAAATGAACTGTAAAAGCAAAGTCCAAAGTAAGAAATGCAACTTATTAAAATGCTTCCTTTGTTTTATAGTGCTTGTGTATTAACACAAACCATATTAAGCTGAATGCAGATGTTCTTGGCCAGCTAGTGGTTTCCCAAAGTTATTGTCTCAGCAACTGCCCTTTCACACAGCATAAAGGATCCTATGTTACTTTTTGCTTTCATGGATCTCACCAGGAATTGCCAGATCAAGTCAGCATCTCAAATCAGGAAGAAACATGTTAAAATAAAACACCACTTAAAATGTATAGCAGTTGTTTTTCAGCTGTAATCACTGACTGCAACTCTTGCCTTTTTGATGGCCAGTGCAGGAGGCTCTTCCTGAGAAATATGTTCAGGGGAACACAAAGAGGCAAATTTGTCTGGTAGGAATTCTGTTACAAAAAACACTGCCTAAAAGGCTCCTTTCTCATCAGCATTCCATCCCATGCACGTCCCAGTTGTATCTAGTGCCACAGCTACTCTCTCACTCCTGAATACCAAAAAGCAGCTAGGCAGTAGGTCTTGAGCAGTACCTAGTGCATGAGGGTCCCCAAATGGGAATATGATTGTGTGCTACAGTGGAATAAGCTTCAGGCTTTATGGAAGTGCATCAGATACAGTCCAAATGGTTGTGTGATGTGCATAATGCATGTGACCTAACAGTCCTGGTACTGACAGGGTTCGGCCTTGAAAACACAGCTCAGTACTAACAGCTTAATCTGACATGTATTTTATCTTATTGACTTGGAGCCTTTCCTTTAGTTGAAACCAAATCTTGCCTAAGACCTACCAGATAGTCTTGATTCAGTAGGCATCGGGAATGGAAGCTTGTCCCTCTCAGCAAATCACTTCGTTGAATTCTTTAATTCAGCATCTTCAAAACTTTTGAAAGGGCATCCCTGTTTTAGAAAACTACATCAATCACTATCTACTTTAACTCCTCCCATGCTGTTGTCACTTCACATTTTACAAATCTCACCTTGACTAGAACTTCCATTTGTATTACAATCAGTTAATCACAAGAACAGCTTGCAAATGCAAGCTACCAAACTCCGAAGAAGAAAGGCAATTTCATACTTGTCTAAGGCAATTTTGACCTTTATAGCACTTTTGAAAAAATGTCACTCAGGTACACAAAATTGACAGGATAATCTACTTTCTGAAACCATATCCAAAAAGAATTTCATGTAATCTCTCTAATATTTAATGAGCACAAGGGCTCACCCCATAAACAGACCGAGCAAGTGGATTCCCTTGAAACCTGTAAAGAATGAGGATGGTTTTTACACTGATTCTCAGTAGAGAACTACAACTTTGTATTGTAGGGCATGTTTTCCTATTTTCCCAAAATTTACTTTCTACCAAATAGAAAAAGTAGATAATGACCTGATGTACTCAAATCTTAGTTAATTGGTGAAAGCTGACCACTCCTCAGCTATAGGAAAATATAGCCTTTGGTTTGGTTTCAGCACCATGATTTATAACATTATCTCTGTTGCCAGTTTCTTGGAAATTGAAGAGATTTTTAGAGATTTGCATCTATTCAATTTTTGTTTGGTTTTCTACACAGATATATTTAACCAGTAGTTTGGTTAATTTATCTAAATATTTCCTTTCCTCCCTACAAAATAAGCATATTACTTCTGTGATTTTTAACAGATTATACAGAAGCTTTTGTGCTTGGTCATTCTTTTAAAAAATTTAAAATTGGTTTTCCCAGTAGATTTGGAATGTATTAAACTAAGTAGAATTCATTTTTGTGCCTACATGACCTAACAGCAGGGTTTCCCTCTGCTGTTCTTGCAATGTCTACTGAGATCACTTTGCCAAATTTCTAATGTCTATCTCACTTAGAAGAATTTTTAACAGATATTAACACAGATTCAAAAGTTTACCAGGCAATAGATGAATTTTCAAAAGATTTTATATGGTGTCATTTTTTAACTTACTTACATGGAATTTCCAACATACATACATCATTTTTTTCCCAAGAAGTATGTGAACAGTTCAAAATTTAAACTTACTTTATCTTACTAAGGTCTGAACTTTTGTAATTTTACTTACATCTAGAATCCATTTGGATTGGTTGGTGTCTGTGGCTTAGTGCCTTCATGTAGCAAGGTCTCTGCCCAAGAGCTGCTACAGTAGTAGGCCACCAGGTACTCATCCTATAATCGTCCTAGATAAACTAATTATCTCTTTAATATATTTTTATTCTTTTTAAGCAAGCCAAGAAAATAAAAATCAGTAGTCTCTTTAGAATTTTTATTTCATACACTGAGGCCAGGTCTTTTGATGGTACAAAGGGCTTTAAACTATATGGGCTTTTCAAGTGCTGCACTATCTTTTTTTGTTCCATGTATAGGATAACATATGATGACATTATGTTATTTCTGAACTGTCCTTGGCATATTGTCAGTAATCCTCTACTCAAAAAATCCTGTTGTAAGGATCATACCTTACTTAGAGAACCCTTTTGGAATCCATCTGCAGCAGGTTACTGATACAATGCAGTGTTTATTCACAGTGGCTACTGACAGGGACTCAATAATACACAAGAAAACCCCCATTACTGAGACCACTCATTATTATGCTTTCAACTTCACCATCTTTTGAAAAATGAACGTGCAGGGCAGAAATATCTGCGGTCATTTTGTCCCTCGGATTCTTCACTTTTTAGGAGGCATTTATCTTCCTAAAAGTGGAGTGGTTGCATTGGTATATGAAACAACTGAGGAAGCGTTTCTGTTCCTGCGAAGGCATCCGCTGCAAAGAGCAGTGACACCAGAGCGAGCACACCTTGGGTACCTACCCAACCACCAGGAAGGTGCCAGGCACCTGGATTACCTGGATGACGCCCCAGCCCCCGACAGGCGCGGGCAGCACTGCCCGCTCCGCTCCGGGCGGTGTCGACCCGCGGCCCGCGCCCGCCCCCACCGCCTCCCGCAGTCCCGCCCCTTCTCTTGATTGGGAGAGAGCGCAGAGGCCGCGCTCGTCATTGGCTCCTAGAACAGCGGCCACGCTCTCCATTGGCTGCCGGCGGTGCCGCTCGGGGCGGCGGGGCCGGGGGTGGCGGTGAGGCGGCGGGGCCAAGGCTTTGCTTCGCGGCGGCGGCAGCGCCACTGGCACCGGCAGCGGCACCGGCACCGGCACCATGGTGAGCTCCGCCCGGCCGCACTCCCGGCCCGGGACACTGGGGCTGCTGGGGGGCGTCCGCCCTACCCAGGCCTGGGCCCATGGTGGGAGGGAAGAGGCTGAATCCACTTGGGAAGCGGGAAGCCGGGCCCCAGCCCTTTGTTTCGGGGGGAGATGGGGGTGATGTTTCCCGTGGTGGGATCGCTTCCCACCGGGGTGGTGGGAAGGGTGGGATGGGATGCTGCGGGGCGCGAGAAGGGGCTCTTCTGCCGCCCGGTGCCTGACCGTGCCGCCGCCTCGCCCTGCCCGCAGTACGGCTTCGTCAATCACGCCCTGGAGCTGCTCGTCATCCGCAACTACGGCCCCGCCGTCTGGGAGGACATCAAGTAAGTATATGTGTGTGTGTCTGTCTGTCTGTGTCTGTGCGTGTGTGTGTGTCTGTTCGTGTGTGTCTGCCTGCCTGTCTGTTGTCCGCGAGTCCGGGCGGGGCAGCGGGCCGGCAGCGGTGCCCAGGACGCGGCTTGTCCCGCAGCCGTGACAGGACCAGAGCGGCTCCTGCCGCGCCTCGTCCCCTCGCGGCCTCTCCTAACGCCGCCAAGACCCGTCTGGTTCCACCTTCCCGGTTTCCAGGAGCCGCAGCGGGGATGGCGTTGATCCCCGCGGTTCCCTGGGTTTTGCGGACTAAGTGGCAGAAATAATGTGCGGGCAAAACGCCCTGAAGCCACGGATATGCCCGTCCTTGCATCCGGCCACCAGGTGAACCACGCAACAGTTGCATCCCTTCGCATCCCTGAAGGAGCTGAAATACAGCGTTTAGCTAATAAACGCGGTCTAAAACCAGTGTGAGATTTTGGTAATGTCCTCGCTTGAAATTAAAAAAAGTCACTGATTATACAGAGAAATATGTATAAGAATGTAAGTATGATTTTTGGCTTTCATCTCTTGAACCTGATTTGTTATGCTCAACCCTTGCTTTTCTGGCAGTATAATGTTTTTCTAGGGAGCTGACTGCCTTGACTTTAAACCTTTGATGAATTGTGAGATTGCACAAAAAGTTTGAAATAAGTAATGTAAACAAAATTCTATTTATTATAAATATGGTAATATTGATAATTGGGCAAAACCACAAGAAATATTTTTAAAAAGACCTAAAAGCTTACAAAGTTGTAAGCTTACTTCATAAGGCTTTAGGTAACTATGTAGTCAGAAGAAAGTGTTTAATGTGATCTCTTGATATTGTATGTTTAAGGGAAAAGTCGATTATCCAACTTGGAGAAAGTGGTCTTCTTTCAACTGGATGCCGCCTTCTGTATCCGTCTTTTCCATTTATTTTGGACCAATTTTAATATGTCAGTGTTGATGTCGATGTTATAATATATTGCTGTTGTCCTAATACAATTTTCAGCGTTAAAGGACAGCTTTTAACTGTGAGATTTTTATTACCGTGACACATTCTTTTCATAAAACTGTTCCTTAGGAATGTGGTAATCTTACACACTACCATGAAATCAGAGAATTATAGACATGCTCTTTGGAAGGCATCTCTGGAGGTCATCTAGTCCAGTTTCTGTTCTGGCCTGCATGGTTACTGGGACTAGATTGGGGCTCAGCTATGACTTTTGTCTAGCTGAGTCTTTAAAATCACCAAAGGTGAGTCCCCAGTTGTGGTTCAGCAGGTGTTCATTGTTCTAGTGATCCCTGACAGTCTATAAATTGCTGTTTGCAAATGCAGTTCTGTGGATAACATAGGTGAGTGTTAAGTGAATGCCACACAGTTTTGTGCTGCAAGTAAGGTATTTATTTTTCTTACATACCTTATCTAAACACACTGATCTATTTTGAATTCTTATAATTTGATTTTTTTAAATGACATGTAAGTTATGGGACAATAAAATAAAATAGTGACACATGCATAATTTTCCATGAAAATTATAACATGTATAAAATATAATAATAAATATTCGCTGTTTCTTGGCATGTCATCCCATACCAAGATGCCTTTAAGTTACTTTTTTTCCAGATTACCCACTGCTAAGAATTTGTATTTAAGATCAATCCATCAGAGAGGGTACAAAGTTTCATCTTCTAATGCAAGAAGACTGTCAGACTGTCAAAACCCAGCTACTATTCCTGATGCATCCTATCTCTTAGGATTTTACAAACAACTAAAAGAATACTGAGGATAACTAAAGCCTATGAGGAGTGTTACTCATTTAATGTTTTGGACAAATTTACTAGAAAGATACAAAATACTTTTCTAAGGTCAGCTATGAAAATTCGGGAAGCTGGTATGTCCTGTTTCTGTTCTTCATGTGAGAAACATTTGTGTCCTGTAGCAGCCCAGCAGGTAGGCTCTGCCATTAGCTCACAGAGAAGATGGCTTTCTGAAAGGACACTATAGCATGACACCACCCAAACAGACAAATGGAAGGTGAGCTGCAAGAAGGAGCTGACGTATAGGCAACAGCTGCCATAGTTCCTTATGGAAAGGGCATTCACAACAGGGTATTTATTCAGCAGGATTTAGTTTAAAAAGTAATGTATCCTTGAGTTTAGAAACCAATAAACTAACCCCTGTATATTTCACTGTAACAGATTATAGTTGGTGCTCATTTAGGGAATGGTACAGGGTCAACTGATAGCCATTAAATTTTTAGGTACTTTTGGTTCCTGTAGTGCACTTACAGAGATGTTATGGAAGAGTTTGGGTGTTTAATCTTTTATAGGTAAATACAAACTTCTTGCAAATGCTTTGTTAGAATTGTCAATCATTTAGAAAACAACGGGAAGATACAGACCAGTGTTGTGGCATGCTGAGTGGAATCAGTTGAATCACTCATGACTGCAGAAGTAATTGTTGAAGTCAACAGTCTTTGGCTGTTTTAAAAAAATTGAGAGGAACTTTGCACTATTAGTGTAGTTGAATTTGCAATACAACTTCAGCATTTTTGTGAAGCAGAAAGGCCTCTGGGTAGTTCAGCACAAAATTTATCTAAGCTTTTTTTTGGTCTGATCACATACTGCTATTTTGTTCTCTCTGAAGTCACTCCAGAGATGTGAATCAGCAGAGTGGTGGGTTGTGATTGCTGAGTGATTCTCAAATGCCAGTGGGTGAATTTGTACTTAATATTGATAGAAGGTAAAAGAAAACATAGAACTGAATAAACTGGAGTAATGAAAACAGGTCATTCTTCAACAAAAATACATTCAAAAAAGTTAAATACTGAATTGAAAGGGTATACTCCATCTGAAGCATGAAAACACTTCTGTAACTTCTTTGGTCAAAAGTGACATTGGATGAAATTCTTACATATAGAATTTGGAAGTCCAAACAGTTGAATTTGATGCTCTTAAGAGTGGTGTTTTCATTGCCATCACTTAGTGGTCTTATCTGAGTCAGAATGATGACTTCAAGTCTCTGTTTCTGCTTTTTCATTAATTTTTCCATGTTCTTAGGAAACTACGATCTGTCAAAAAAAGATACATACTGATTTTTTTTTTAAATTCCCCAGAGTGGAATTCTTGGGAAAGTTAGGCTCCATGTTTTTTTTCATCCACTTTAAAAACAAATCATAACTAGATAACGGACTTTTTTTACACACCATGCAGCCTTTACAATGAAGCTCGGGGGAAATATTGCAGTATTCACTTTGATTTATGGCTTGGTTTTGCTAAAGAACTAGGATTAAAATGCCTGAAACAGAACGATTCAAAGCCCTTTATTTTTGAACCAACTTTCTGGATCCCAAATAGGCTGAATTCAAAATAACATGAAGAAACCTGGCATATAAGCAGTGAAGTTAATTTTGATTTGTGGAGCCTTTACTCAATTTCTCAACAGGAAAGTCTCAAAAATTTTTTTCTCCTTGCTTTTTCTCTGGCTACCACTCACAGAATTGAGAATTTGAACTTGCAGACAGTTTTTTTGTGATGAAGCCCTGGAAGCATTAGAGGGATTTAGCAAAGCTGGATGATCAAGAGGGAGCAAGAGGAAAGTCCTGTAGTTGCTGAATTCTGCAGTAGCAGATTTTTCTTAGTGGAAAGTGAAGGTGATTCAGCATAGTAATTTTTTGTGCTTACTGGCACTTGTAAGCTGCCTGTACATTGCTCGTTGTTATTCACTTCTTCAGTCCTTGGAAGGGGAGACTTAGGACCCAGAATACATGGAAACAGACTTCTTTGATCAGCACTCACTAGCTCTGCAAAGAGTTATTAGCAAATAAACTGTTCCTTAGAGCTGTTAGCCACATTTTTGCTGAGAAGACACTTTGCATTTGTTCCTTCCCTGCTTAAGAGAAAACCTCTGTCAAATCCCTTATTTTGTCACTGTTACATCCAGAGGACTATTTCAGATTGTGTGGCCGTGGTTGCAATGGCTTGAAAGGGTGGTTCTCAAGATTCCTTTGGCATTAGATATCTTCAAGTCCTCTGCAGCCAGCATAAACGCTAGCTGACATAAACTGGAAGTTGTCAGGCTTGACCATTCCCGCATACGTGCAGTTCTGTACTTGTGTCTGTTTAAGGTCAAATTTGTACTGCTGGGTGATAAGGGTAGCATGTGAACTTGATCCTAATTAGTGTTTGTGGAATTACTGTCTATGTACCTGTCCCAGACAACACAGAGAGATTACTCACATTTTAAAAATAAATAAAAGTTTCCAAGGCTTAAGAAGTTGTCTTCACTAGTATGTTTTGGCGTTGGGCATGTTTTTATGGTATATGGTAATACATTTTTAAAAGGGGTCTCTATCATGATAAAATCTGAGCTCTTCTGCAACAGGTATCACATATGGCTGAGCT